ATTAAAAAAGTTGAAAACCATACGTATAATAGTTTTGAGGTTTCAGGTTTAGTGTTTCGGATTTTTTTTTTTTTTTTTTTTTTTTTTTTTTTTTAAAAGAACCTGTGACTAGTTTCAGATAGGTTTAGTTTCAAGTGCAAAAATAATCTATATAAGCAGCATCTGCTTTTGGTACTTTGTGACTCAGTACATATTCCATCAACAAGGCTCAAAATTCGAATTAAGTCAATTAAGATTTAAAACTTATTGAATAAAATAATTATACATCGATACAAAAGAGAAAAAAAAGGTTTACATTTAAATCTCAAAGGAATCATGACAGTTGACTTACCTTAATGAAAATGTGCGTACCTATCAACCATTAAAGTAATATAGATATGTTTACTGTAAATACGTTACCTATGTGTGGCTACTACGTAATAAAATTGCAACTGACACGTAGCTATTTTAAAAAACCTTCGAGTAATGTGACAATGTAAATTATAACCGTAAACTTTTTTTCTCACTTGCAGAGAATTATTTATACCAGAAGGAAGCTACGTACGCATTTAAAAAAGTAGCAGTAGCTTATTTAGATCTATCGGTTATATGTATTGGTAATTATTGTTACATTATGATGTATGCGCGTATCATACATCAACAAATTCCTCCTGCATATCTTTACAGTAGTTACTGGCGTTGAAGTTACACCAGAGCAAACTTACTAAATATATTATAATTTTCGGAGTTAAACAACTTGATTATAACATTTGTAGAGTAATTCGATTAACTTATTTGAAAATAAGATTGTTTGTTAATGCAGCCAAGTAAAAAAAGTCCAAATAATTCACGCAAGACTAATGCTTATATACTAAAGCTTATATGATATTCTGAATGAACCTGTAACATTGCAACAAAGAATTACCCCTTTCTGAATAAATATAGACAAGATCCGAAATCTATACAAAAGTAAGATCTTATGGAAATGTATCAGAGATATATATATAAATTTCCTAATACGAAATTTCTGTATGTTCGATTTAAATTGTACATTTAACGTATTATACCGTTTAATATATAAGAGTCATTTATATACGTACTTGCCTACGTAAGAACGCTTTTTGTTTTTTTAAAGAATTGGACTTTGAGATGAATAAGATGAATATGATTAATCCCTTTCGAACATTTTTTTTTTCGTTAATAGTTATTAGTTTAGCATTCACAAATGTGATATGTTTTATTCCTGATGGTCGATTAGGACATGCTACCGTATTAATTGGGAGCAACCTCTATTATTTTGGGGGTAATACCATGAAGCCAAGGTTTACTAACCAAGTATTGTATCTTAATTTATCAAGTTCATTTAATTTAATTTCACCTCCATGGCAAATTACGACGACTCCAATCCCAATTCCACTTTATTCTTCTATGGCATGTCTCTCTACTGACGGATCTACAGTTTACTTAGTTGGTGGATTGACACAAAACGAGAAAAATACATCAATTCTTATGATTCCACAATCACCAGTATATGCATTTAATGTAAATACCTCACAATGGACAAATCCAACTATTTCAAACTTCAATAGTACATTTTTTGGACGTGGAGATATAGATATAGTTTCTGATAATAATGGGAAATACTACTTCTATGGAGGATTTAAATCTGACTTAACGACATTTACCAATTTTACTATTTTTAATGATACAAATATATTTGACACAAATGCAATGAAATGGACAACATTAAATTTGCCCAATGTCCCACTTAGTCGTATATTTTATAGTGCTGTATTTAAAGATAATCTTATATTTTACATTGGCGGTGTAGGTGATAATGTTTTTGATTTGAACGAGGTATTTGTGACTTACATAATTCGCGTCAGAAAAAAGTTTTTGATTTTATTAAATAATAATGTGCAATAAATAACTGGCTTAAATCAAGTAGATTCCAGTATTTGATACATCTGCTTTAAAATGGTTATCTATGGTACGTACTTATTAAGTACGTATATATGTGTAATAGGATCATTTCAGCAAACTTAATATAATACTGTTTGTTTTAGACGACTCGTGGCGATCCAGTTGGAGGCCGTAGTGGCCATTCAGCTGTTTTAAGTACGTGCTTTAATGATATAGTCTAGGCTTACAGTCAATGTTTACCATCGATATACTGTAGAATAATTTACAATTATATTATTACATTTTTTAATAGATCAAGATGGGCAAATCGTTGTTTACGGTGGACAAGGAAACAATAATGTTCAAGTACAACCTGATGTCGCGATATTAAATGTAAATGTTACACCGTATACATGGACGGCTATTACAGATAAAGCACCACAAGCACTTATGTATCATACAGCAACAATGTATGGAAAATATATGATAGTTGCATTTGGTAATCATAGCATTTATTTTTTAAATTTTGCTAATGTCTGAATCTAGAAAAAAACTTTAGTGGACTATAATTCAATATTGTTTTTATTATATTTTAAATTATTCTGTTTGGAGTACTAATTTTCTAATAATTGTTCTATTATTAATTATTCAATTTTACTCTGTTTTACTTTATGTTTAGGTGCAATCGTTCCTTTAACACCCCAGCCTGCAACAGCACAATTAGTATTAAACAGTAATTTATATATATTTAACACAAAAAATAATACATGGCTTAAAAGTTTTGATCCATCAGATCCAGGACCAAATCCAGGATCAAATCCAGAAAAAACTTTGGACAGTAATAAAAGTCCAACCGATTCACTTTCAACAATAATAAAGATTGGCATTGGTGCAGCTATAGTAGTTACTTTTATTATTATGGTGGCAGCGGGAATTTTCATTTATAAACAATGTTGTGCTTGCAATCGATCTACCAATTATATTCCAACACCCGGCTCAACATATATATAGTTTGTTAGGTACGTACGTACGTACGTACATATTTATTCATTATAGTTGCATATGTGACAGATTGTTACTAAATAGATCTATATATCATACAGTAGTTGTTATTTTAATTATAATTTCAAAATGTTGATTATTTTAAATTATAATAGTAGCATTATACCACTATGTTGACATATCATATTTGTATTATTCGAGTATATGTATATCTGTTATTCAGCAAAAAATTATACTTTTTTTTTTTTTTTTTTTTTAGTAATACTATTACAGTTATAAGTATCAGCGACGATTAAATAATTCTTCAAGCACTGTTGTTACTTTTGAAACCTCTCACCTACATATATGTTTACTATAAACCTAGAAATCTGAAATGACGTGAGGAATTTCACTAATACATTCATAATAAAATTTTTTCTTTATCTCAAATATTCATTAATTCATATAATATCAGTATCAAAGTTTTCTTTGCAATAATTTATGCGATCTTTTACAAGTGTTTATTTCCAGTGTAAATAACTGTAGAAATATAAAATTATACATACATCTTATATTATGCTTAACAATAAATGATTTTTGATCACATATTACATAAATTTAAAATTTTATCTGTTTTACATGCATATAGTCTTGTACAGAATAAAGTCTTTGAGTGAAAAAAATGTTCAAATTATTGATTGTCAACAGATAAATTAGATAAAGATTAAATCGTTGACCGCTATATTAATATTATTTATAAATCACTTTTCAGCAGATTTTTTTTTTTTACAGCTTCAAGAATTGATCTCATAATGTTTTGTTTAAAAAACAACGGGACAAAGGGTGGTAAGCTCGTCGGGTAATACAAAACTTTACATTCTTGTATCGCGTTTGGCTTTGACCGCACGCTGAGGGATAAAACAGCATAATACTCAACCTTTTTCTAAGGTTGTAAATTAATTCATAAAAACTTTTGACCAGACAACCGTGTTCATAAATTATTTCCGGTTTGCGTAGAAAATAACGCCTTTTGGATATATGTATCGTGTGTGATCGAAATCCAATTAGTTTTAAGGGATATAGAAGTGAAGTGTCATTTTTTCTCATATGTGAAGTTTTGTTCCCAATATTGTGTTTTTAATTAGTGCGTCAAGGGTTTAAATAAAAATTTTCATATTCAACAATTGAACTCGCTGATTGGCGAAAATAAGTGGACGCTAATGCCAATTTTCAATTGCAGTACAAATTTTCTAAAATGACCAAACGGTAACTGACACTAACAAAAATATGTATAGAATGCAATTTAACATATAATACTGTACTTACCTTAATCCTAACCTAAATGGACTTAACAGATATTAAGATAATTAGATTATTTTTTTAAACATATAATTCTGGAAATTTTGAACTACATCTGAAACCACTGTATTCAGTTTTACCTGTCTTGAATATTTTGAACGTGCTACTCTAATCCAAATCAGGCATAGTACATTCAGACTATAATTAGCCGAAAAATTGATCTACTAATCAAACAATGGACAAATTTGATTCTAATAAAATAGTACGAAATTTTTTAAGGTTCATGAAATGATGCTCATATTGTGAGTAATGCCTTGACAAACACCTAAAATAGAACACACGTACTTGTCTAAAATTACTACTTAAATACATGCAATTTTGGGAACTTAGTTTGCCCAAATCCACCTTCAGGTGCCCAAAGTTGCAACTCTAGAAAGACGTTAACTTACGTACTACAGATACAAATATAGTTAATTCTTTTTAAAGTGATCCAGTATGAAACATAGATAGCATCGGCGATCAGATAACAGGATACTGTAATATAATTAAATCTTAATTTATACAATTTCCAACTTTGTTAAGATTGTCTAATTATCCCAGATGGTTAAATAATTATAGACGGTCATAGAATAAACCAAATTTTCTAACTTTATATATTATAGTTAGCAGTATCCAATTTTGAAAATCCGCTTTGATAATGTATACAAGTTTGAAAATCCGCTTTGTTAATGTATACAAGTTTGATCTTCAGCCAGGAGTCAAAAATACTTAATTTCACACTTTGATTTAAACATTTTCTCAAATTTTAACCAGATTATTTTGAATTTTTACTATACACCATGAAAACTGTCTTAATTCCTCTTTATATGCATACATCTGATACTTGTTGTGATTGTCAACCTGGTCATTCGTTTAAAGCAGACTGGTGTCTTGACCTTCACGGTTTTTTATCTCGTGAAGAATTCGCCTCTAGACTTAATCAAATAAATAATCATGTCAAAGGCGTTGAACTAATGAGTCCAAAAACAAAATACTTATTATATTCAATAGCTTCCATTGGTGCCACTTTGATTACAATTCTCTTTATTCTAATTATGCCATTGATTGGCTTCTTTATAAGCACTACCATATGTTCTATTCTATTCTTTTTCGCTAAATTTATGATCGAAAGAAATGCTGCGGAGCGTGCTATGCAATTTACTAATCTTTTAAACGACCTTTTTTCTCGTTACAATGAAAATGAAAATCCAACTGTTAATTGGAAATTCTGGTGGGTTACATCTTACGAAAAGTATGTTAGTGGAATGGATGGAAGAGCTTTTGGAAATGGGCGTATAAACGTATTAAAACTCGGTTTTTGTATGAGTATTAAATTTGCTTCACTATTTAGTGATAATGCATTGATAATACTTGAGATAAATGATGCCCTTTCTGATCTTACAGCTAATACTGTCCGTGTAAATATTGAGTATGAAACAATCTTCCCTGTTGAGAATACTCCTATGGTTAATGTGAACCATAATGTGTAAAATAACGATTTTATTCTGTTCATTTAATAAGTTTGTTTCATAGCTCTATAAAAACATTATTTATATGTACAAAATTATTATTATTATTATTTTTTATTATTTTCATACAAAATTTTATCGGATCTAGAATGTGAAATGTTTTTAGGATAAGTCAATGATAAAATATACTTTCGAAAGCCAAGTTTCAAGAAAATAGCTATAAGAAAATTAGCATGTTTTAGATTTTTAGTTAAATAGGTTAGATTTGACTATATTTTTACAACATTTTTCTATAAACATTTTTTTTTATAAAATCTTTTTTTTAAAGTATTAGCTACTGTAACTATTATTATATAAAAAATTTTATTTAAATATTTTAAAATTAAATTTTTTGCAATTTAAAATATACAGTACGTATCTTTTACTATTTTTTTTTTGAGATTTATTTAGTTTATAAAATTGTAAACAATACTCACAAATTTATATAAAGAATTTGCTTTTTTAAAAAATTTAAATTATTTAATATTTTTTTAGAAAATTATTATAGCGATGCATCTCCAGGAGTAGGTTAAATGATCGATCAAACAAATTAAAGAATAAATCACGTTTATCAAAAGTACAAATTACATCAAAATTTTTAAAATTTAAAATGAAAATATCTCGATGAGTACCTAATCAAAGTTGATGAAAATTTTTTATTTGAATTCTATAGATTCATAACTTTTTGTTTGAATTTAAAAGAATTTTGCATAGATCAAAAATATGTGTCAAAATTTTTAAACTTTAAATGAAATTATCTCGATGAAGTACCTAACCAAATTGAATAAAAATTTTTAAAACTTTAAATAAAGATATCTCGATGAGTTATATCCTTCCTTTCTGCTTTTACGAGTATTTTCGAGTTTGCCTTGTGAACTCGTCTATATATTCCAGAGTTTCATTAATGCTAACAGTGTGCATTGTATGATAGATACAAATATAATTGATGTAATACCATATTTTTGAAATACCGCAATAATGGTCTGAAGAAATATTTAAAAGTTGGTTGATATTAAAAGTATAATGAAAGATTGAGAAATGATATGGGTGTTGGTAAGAGAAAACCTGTAAACCAATTCATTGATTTTCACTCTGGCGAGCTCAGCCCCTGAAAAATTAATACCGCGATGATGACATGTGATCGAAATACGTATACAATCGTCGTTCTAGTTCTTATAATAACCAAAGTAACACGTGATATAGAAACAACTAGAACGACAATTGTATACGTATTTCGATCATATGTCATCATCGCGGTATCAATTTTTCAGGGGCTGAGCTCGCCAGAGTGAAAATCAATGAATTGGTTTACAGGTTTTCTCTTACCAACACCCATATTATATTAATCATCTATACATTGAAGTTCTATGTCTCTACGTTAAAGTGATGTGATTGGCTAAAGAGCCACGTGCGACCTAACAGCTAACATCGGGTCTACTTTTAGAGATCTGATTGGTTGTTGCCATTTTGGTTTTTAGGCTTAGTAGAACGTAATCATAAAATCAAGTTAAATAAACGAAAAAATTATTGTAGATTTTATTAATGAGATTTTTGTTATGTTAAAGCTTGAATTACTTTACGATATACTAATAAGTTTCTATCGCGAAATAACATCCAGAGGCATTATTTCAGAATATGTAATTGAAGAAAGTTAATAATTAATTTGGCCGAATGAAAATCACAATTTCTTGTGATTAAAAGTCTTCGGCTAAATTAATTATTATCTCTTCAAACGATTTGTTCCGAAATAATGCTCTTGGGCTTTATTTCATGTACGGTGGTTATACGATAAAAGCTTAAACTATTATGAAAAGTTGACTACCATACAAATATCATCGGAATTAGGGATTGGAACCGTTTAACCGTTTAAAAATTGCTCCATAATTCCGGGCAGAATTATGTTGGTCGTGGGCCGGAATTATCTTAATGCCGGCCAAGTTAAACGGTTAAACGATTAAACGATTAAACGATTAAGAAAAATTTTAGGCGGTTCCAATCCCTAATCGGAATATGTGGAGTTACGAAAGTAAGCAAGAAATTTATAGTTTTGAGAGTAAAAATACTGATAACTTTAAACAAATATTTATCTAATGCAAATAAAGGATATTATATGACTTTACAATCATTTACAAATACAAATTTTAAGATTACAATGGACGCTAAGCTGCGTATTAAGGAAATAGCAATCTGATTTTAGTTTTATATGTTTCCTGGGGATTTATAAATGTCATGTAATTTTATTGGTTCTATATTTATTAATTTAATTAAATACTTTGAAAATTTGACATTTGAAGGTTTCTTGATTCATTAGAGAAAACCGAAAGTGCAAATTTTTGATTATAAAAGCGGATAAATGAGACACGTATGGCTTCAAATTCAACTGCTAGCTTATATAAAACTATAATGCTTTAATATTCCTAATATTAATGCACTATGTTTATAGCTTTAACTTTATCCTTTGAAAAATTCCAAGCAAGTGACCATTATTCTAATTCTTCAAGTCAATAATAAGATTCTGTATCATTTCACTGACACTCAGTTCGTAGATACAACATTTCATCCCCACTCATTTCTTAGACACAATAGTTCTCTGACAGTCAATTCACCGATATGTTTACTTTATTTCACTAGCACTTATTCACCGACAAGTTCATTTAACAGTTTATTCCACCGACAACTCATTTCACAGACAAGTTTGTTTTATAAATTACATTAACCTTAACTCTAATTCTACCCTGACTCTAAAGACAATAACCAGAATTACCTTGTCGGTGAAATAAATACGTCAGCGAATTGATTGTCGGTGAAGTGTTGTATTTACAAATGAGTGTCGATGAAATGAACGGGATTGAATGTTTTAGTGATTTCAAAAATTTCAAAACTAGATTTCAAAAATGGATTAGTGATTTCAACTAGGGTTGGATTTTCCGTCCAGTCCTTCTCGGTCTCTATTAAGACTGGTCCTAATTCGTGCTCCGAAAGGGTTGATTTAGTTCGGATCAGGGACCTGTGGAATTTGTGATACAATTTAGTAAAATATGTTTTTGATATCAGTAAATTATTTGATTTACCGCTGATTAATTAATACAGATTTAATTATGTTTATTTATACTTACATAAATTTATCAACTTGCGATTTTTTAAAAAAAAAAAAGTTGAACTAAATTTCATTTTGACTGTTTAAGCTTTATAATTATTAGAAAAATATTTGTTGTCATGTGCAAACTGCTGCTACAGTATTATTTTCATAATAACATATATTTAAAAAAAAGAAAATAAGAAAATAAAAAATACATTTATTATACTTTGCTAAACAAAATACTAAAATATTTGCTAGCTATTTAATATAATCGAAGCAATTGCAATAACTTAAAAAAAATAAAAAATAAAAAAGTCAGTTTAATATTAAGTGCTATTAAAATACAATATGTTTAACATTCATAGTGATTCTTTGCTTAAGTTTTGTCAATCATCAGCTAAAATATCATTATAGTCAGAAAAACTTCTTTCAATAGTAGCAGATGAAATAGGTAGCCAAATATAATCTTCTGCTATCATATTTAATTTTGGCAATTGATAAGCTACTTTATTCTAAATTTCTTTCAAATCGTCGAATTGTATTGTTGATAAATTCAAATTCATATATATGCTTTATTCTTGTATCAAATTCATTGATAGATTTGTTAATTCAGAAATAAGGCTATAAGATAGAATGTCACAATTGGCTGTTGTAAGATTAATAAATTATGGATCAAAAGCTGGAGATGCTTTAAAAAGTGGTCAGACTGAGTAATTCATAATATGATGTTTATATTTCTGGTAGGCTTTTTTGAATGCACTTTGAAATACTGAAATAAAAGATTCAACATGAAAATTAAGAGAGGTTATTAATAAATAAAGTTCATTACCAAAATTAGTAGAACTTCTATTATGATTCAGGAACTGACTAAGATGAAAAAGTCATGTTTTAATAAAAGGAAATATGGGATTTGTATCAATTTGAAAAAAATCTAAGCTTGAAACAAGAATTTGCACATATGTAATAATCAATTGTAAGTAAATTTTAATAAGTTCACAATTTTAAAGATCTGTAAGCATTGCTATAATTTCATTAATAATTGTTGTTGAATATTTGGTATTTTTTGTTTAATAAAAAATACAAATATAGTCAAGATATTTATCAATATAAAATGCTATGCAAAACTATGAATTTCATCGAGTTTTTGATGAAAGAGAAATTTTTTTTGATGTATTAATTGAAGAGTCTGCATATAATGACTATGATGCATCTTAAAATAAGCTATTGTTTGCTTAATATAGCTAAGTAATTTTTGTTTAATTTCAAAATAATCAACAAAAATTCAAGCTTTTCTAAAATACCAAATAGATTATTATGTTCTTAATAATATAATAATAATAATTAAAATACTGTATATTATATTAACCCAATTAAATTTATTTTATATGCTAAACAGGAACAATAGATTAGTTGTGGCATTATTAGCTTAAGAATATCCTGAAAACATTTTTTCATATATGCTGCAAAATTAGAAAACATTAAACAAAGAGATTCAAGAGAGATTGACTATTTGATGAGAGCTTGAATAATTAATTGTTCAATAGCTGTATTGTTAACCCAATCTAAAAAGCCCACTTCAACTAACTTTGTAGTACTACAATAAGAAAAAATTATATTTACAACACTTCTTGCATATGAATCTGAAGTTTTATCTATAATTATTAACATTTTTTTACAACTAAAAAATGTTTAAAGTTTATCAATTTTTGTTTTAAAAACATTTGGTATGTAATCTTTATGCAAAGTATTTGCAAATTGAACTGCATCACCATTACAAACATTTTCTTTAATCTAAGGTAACAGCTTGTTAATTTTTTCAAGAGGAATATTGGCCTCAGCAAATGCTTTTACAAGCTCTAAAACTATTTTTTTTCTAGAATTTGAAGCTTGTACTACTGTTGAA